TAAGAAAACAGTGCAGGCGAGAGAGGAGGATCTGGATGGTAGAAAGGCTGGAAGAAAGGGGTTGGGACACTGCAACAGGGAGAATGACACATGGAAGCAGAAGTGTATTTCCATATGGAACTTTAAATGCTTAAAGTTGCCTACACATCAAATGTGGGAGATAAGGCCACTTTATTGTGGTCACTCTATAATACAGATTCAATGCAAGAAGATATGAAATCAGCTGCAGAGAGTCTGTGGAGAATCCTGTGCCAAATAAAGTGCCATCTTTTATTGTTCTATTCTCAACTTCCTTCTGTTTATAGCATACACAGCCCTTTTCCTCCTACATGCCAAATTTCACCCATCTTAAAATTTGTGCCTCCAACCTTTTCCCAAGGTCTATTCTTAAGCTTCTTGGTGGACAAAAGCCATGCCAGCTACCGGAGCTTCTAGACTGCACAGACAGATCTCTGCTTGGTAGATTTGGTTTGCCTCAGAGTGTGGTATAGTGGCTTCAGGTTCCTGGCTGCCCCTTTTTCCCACCTGCCCTCTAGGATCAGAGCTGATGGCCTCTCACTCACAAGGAGAACATAGATTACAGGGTATTATTGCGATTCAGACACTGATTTTATTGATATCACTGCATTAACATGAAAAGAGGAGGAAACAATTCTTACAAATCAAGACTTTAAAATAAAACACAGCAATAGAAATAATCATATTTACAATATCTGTATTACACTATTTTTTGCTTTAATATTAAAAAATGTGCTTCCCTTTAGTGCAATAAAAAAAGTGCAAAAGAAAGAAAAAGAAAGATCAGTTCCAAGCAGGAAAGTTTACTATGGGGGTACTATCTTTCAACTGGTATTTCTTCAGCTGTTAACCTCATAAAGGATTTGCCAGAATGTCGTATCTCACAGTACAATAGCTGACAACTAGTAGGAGCAGTGCCTTGAAGCTGCAAGGCTAAAGGGAGAAGAGTGTTCATGCTATCCATTCTGAGGCATCTAATGCCTAAATTACAAGGCTGGCATATCTACGTTCCTTCCATGGTCAGAGAGGTCCCAAGAGTCTGTTTAAATTCGGTTTCTGCTTCTGACACAGACACCTCTTTCTCAACTGACCACTGAAGGGCAGTGAAGAGACTTGCTGCTAATTTAGGCATGTAAGGTGCATGCCTAATGTCAGGGGCACTTCCCTACAGCGCAAAGCAAGAACCTCTCCCCCCTGCACGTCTCTCTTCTTTGCTAACATCATGTCCCCAGAATACCACTTTATTTTACAGGGAAATCCCCAATAAAGACATGAATTTACAACCATAGGAGACTTACAGAGCAGAGGAGACAGTTCTGAAGGGTGAGAATCTAGCTAAATGAAACAATTCAAACCACATGGACTTTAACAAGTTTTCCTAAGCAACAGTGTTGTTCCAGGCTCTGTTTTCCTCATTGCACAACTCACTTTTAGTTGTCTGGTAAGCAAGTGTGAGGCTTCAGAGCATTCCTTCAACAGCCACCTCCAGGGGCCTCTTGCGAGCAGGACGCTCCAGCTCATGCTGCTACTAATGGCCTTAAGTCTTCAGTAAGGACTGATTTTTGATTGTGGCATCAGTGCTCAGTGGAAACTATTGTCCTGAGAAGGTGACAGGCAGAATGTCTACTCTAGAGTTAGTTGCTTTTCTCAGTTCAAGGCTGCTCTCTGCGCAGAAGTTATCCCAAAACGCCAACTTACGTTGTATGCTCACAGCATGTTCATATTACGTAGGAGCCTAGCCCTAGTTATTGCAGGCCCTTTGCACTCACAGTTTATCTCTTCAGGACTAGGATGGTCTCCAGTCAATACTGTGCTCATGGTCTCCAAAACCTTTCGGAGACATATGATGTTATTTTAATTTTTGTACAAAATCTGACATGGCAAATACCAAGGCAATTTTATTCCTTCTTTGTAGAGCTTTGCTGATGTTCTTTTGTTCTCTTGACCACGTGCTGTTTTCCTTGGAGGGATATGTTTTGCCAGAAAAAACACTGTGGGATTTTGGGGTGCAACTTTGCCTTGTTGAGCAGTCAGTAGTCTTGGAATGTGCAGTTACTTGTAACATCCAACCCACAGAAATCATGGTGTTGCCATTTGGAAGATGTTAGCAACTGAACATTGATATGGCAGGCATGAAATTAAGCATTAGCTTATAGCTAAAAGAAATAAATTTTACATTTAATTAAATTTACATATTAGATAAAACCTTGGCTAGAATGGCCCAAGATGAAGGTCTGTCACCTCTGCCAGCAGAGAAGTGATATTCATGTATCTCATATTCATCCTCAACCTCGTATTAATGGAAATACCCTTTATTCATGCAGGGGGAGAAGAATAAAATGAAGAGAGCTAAATGCTTCCAAATAGCTCCTCTATGTTACAGAATGAACACTGTCTTACAGAATGAACTTCCAAAAGCCATCAGGATTTTAGGTTTGTCATTAATGCTGAAAACTGAACAGGTTCATTGATCCTCAAAACTTCCTCCAAGTATTTATCTTACATTGTTTGCATAACAGTAAATGGCTCTTGTGACATGACACTCCTTAGGCTCTTCAATATCATATTCCTCATGAATAAATCTTGCTAGCATTTATTCATTGGATAAAATTCATGTCAAACCCCAGAACCTTACTATTCTGGGCCTCATTCAAATTTTGAATTGATGCTACTATGGCATTTACCTTTTCTGGACAATTCATAAATCAGTTTAAAAACAGAAAATGCTGTAATCCAAGGGAACAATTAACTACAATAATGCTACAATTAACTAAAATACAATAACTACAAAAATCCGTTTTTTTAGTAGTGATTACCATACATATCTTCAATAATAAGTTCATGCAGTCCTTAAGGCAAAGAAGGTGATGCAAAGTTTACTACCTGACATTTCAATGTGTTTCTTACAGTCCAGTTGAGATGTCATGCTCTGCAGTGGATGGTGTGAATGTGGAACTAGCTCTTTCTAATTTTTCACGATAAAGAGCAGGACACTTTTTGCAGAGGTGAGCTGCAACATGCTTTCGGAAAAAGACATAAAGATATTTCCTAAATTTCTCTCCAACAAATGCATAGATCACTGGGTTGATACAACAGTGTATCATTGAAATTGTTTCTGTCACTTGGATTGCTTTCCCCAGTTGACCACTGGCAGCACAATTATTGAGGGATAATGAAGTTTGAAAGGTATACAAAAAAGAGGCAATATTAAATGGTGTCCAGAAGACAAAGTAGAAAACCATGATCACAAAAATAAGTCTGACTGCTTTGGCCTTTTTCTCATTCCTGCATCTCAGTAATGTTTTTAGAATTCGAGAGTAACTGAAAATCATAATGATCATGGGGAGAATAAGCCCCAGGATGTTCATCATTAAAGTATGGCAGTACTTCCAATTTATGGCATTAGCTGTGGGATAATGAGGGCTGCAAGTAAAACGTGAATTTTCTTTTTGAGTTTTGTGAAAAAAGACGCCAGGGAGGGAGACTAAAAGAGCAATAACCCAAGTGACAGTGCTGGCGAGGATGCCATAGGTGACTGTTCTGGCTTTCAGAGCAAACACTGCATGCACTATGGCCAGGTACCTGTCTATGGTCAGGAGGATTATGAAAAAGATGCCGCTGTAGAAGCCGAGGAGGTAGGCGCCTGAGAGAATCTTGCAGAGCGCGTCGCCAAAAATCCACTCCTGGGCAGCGTAGTAAGCCCAAAACGGGAGGGAAAATATAAAGAGCAGATCAGAAATGGCCAAATTGAGCAGGTAGATGTCAGTCATACTCTTCAGTCGCTTGTATTTCACCAGAATAAGGACAACAAGCATGTTGCCCAGGAGGCCGAATATCACCACCAAGGAGTAAAGTGGTGGCAAAAATTTTGCTGCAAAGTTCTTTTCTTCAGTGTTCAGGCATGGGATGGCATCATCATAGTCAAACTCAGTTGTCAGTAGTAAGTTCTCTGCGTCAGCAGTGTAGTTTTCCACCATGTGTTCATCTACTAAGGAAGAAAAGGATGTTTAATGGCAGGGCACTCCATAGCTTTGGTTTGCAGGGAGTGAAAGGCATTGCTGCCCTCTGAATTATTTCTGGCCCTTTAACACATGAGCTGTGCTGATGCTAGCGTGGAGAGGAAAACAAAGTGGCAGAGCCCACGCACACACAAATCTCTCTAGCTATGAAGGCAAGTTGCTGCATGCATGTTGGAAGTGTGCTATGTGTCATTTCCACATGTGCTCTGCATGGCGCGTCCTCCTGCTGAGGAGAGCAGGTCGACTGGCAGCAGAGGAATGCTGACTGTAGCGTGAGCAGTGGTGAGCTCGGACCGTTATGCTCAGCAGTGGCTTCGGAAGGCCAGAGAGAGACGGGAAGGGGCAAGCATGGCAGTTGGCACGCAGCATGCAGCTGTGTTTCTCCTCAGTAGCCTGGCCATGTTGCTGTTGTGCAGCCCACACTGCAGTCCTCACCCAAGGAAGGCCAAGGCCTCGCAGAGGCACCCTGGTACTGGTCAAACCTAGCTGGCTGCTGGGTCGTTCGTGCCTTACTGAGAGCCTTAATGTCAGTGGGAAGTGGCTGAATAGCAGAGTTCAGAGGATGGGATAAATGGGGCCGAGCCTAGTTGGAGGCCTCTGGCCAGTGGTGTCCCTCAGGGGTCAGTGTTCCACTTGTGCAGGGTGCTGTTCAACTTGTTTATCAGTGACTTGGAATGAGGGGACAGAGTGCACCCCAAGTACATTTGTGGGCGATACCAAACTGGGTGGAGTAGCCGACACTCCTGAGGGCTGCGCTGTCATTCAGAGGGACCTGGACAGGTTGGAGAGTTGGGCAGAGAGGAACCCTATGAGGTTCGACAAGAACAAGTGCAGGGTCCTGCATCTGGGCAGAAATAACCCCAGGCACCAGTACAGATTAGGGGTTGATTAGGGGTTGACCTGCTGGAAAGCAGCTCCGCAGAAAGGCATTTGGAAGTCCTGGTTGACAACAAGTTAACCATGAGGCAGTGATGCACCCTCATGGCTAAGAAGGCCAATGGGATCCTGGCCTGCATCAGGAGGAGCATTGCCAGCAGGTCGAGGGAGGGGATCCTGCCCCTCTACTCAGCTCTGGTGAGGCCGCACCTGGAGTATTGAGGGCAGTTCTGGGCTCCCCAGCACAAGAGGGATGTGGAGCTTCTAGAAAGGGTCCAGCATAGAGCAACGAAGATGATTAAGGGACTGTAGTATCTATCTTATGAGGAAAGGCTGAGAGAGATGGGCCTGTTCAGCCTGGAGAAGAGAAGACTGAGATGGGATCTTATCAATATGTATAAACACCTGAGGGGAGAATGTAAAGAAGATGGGGCCAAACTCCTCTTGGTGGTGGCCTGTGACAGGACAAGGGGTAATGGATACAAATTAAAACCCAGGAAGTTTCATCTCCATATGAGGAAGAATTTCTTTACTGTTAGGGTGACAGAGCACTGGAACAGGCTGCCCAAAAAGATCATGGAGTCTCCTTTGGAGTTATTCAAAACCCACTGGCTGTGATCCTTTGCTCTACGTGTCCCTGCTTGAGCAGGGGGGTTGGACTAGATGATCTCTAGAGGTCCCTTCCAACCTCAGCCATTCTGTGATTCTGTGAATGAGATTGCTGGTGGTGTAGAAATGATTGTGCCACAGCAGCACCAAGGATACTTACCAAGTGAGTCTGCCATCATGGCACTGCAGGGCAGGTGAGCAGGGAGGGCAGATCTGGGATAAAAAGGCAAATGTTGTGTATCTCTGGAATGAAAACAGGTTGTAGTTCTCTGCAGAAAATACTGGACACGTTCAACTGGTAACCTGCATGGAAATTCACAATTAAAAGAAAGATAGGCAAACAGCTTCTAAAATGGCATAAAAGATTTCTATTTCTAGAAATCTTTTGTGAAAGAAAAGGAAAAGAGGGTAGTACGTTTTTGGTACACTCAATTTTTTAATTTGAACATACCGTTTGGATTGACTAGAACCTACTCTTGGGTCATATTATTCACTTATTTCCAAATTCTATTATATCTGAAAATGCAGAGTATGCAGAGTATGTAAAATGAATTTTTCTGACATGAAAGAATCACAGCACAGAATGTAAGTAGTGTTTTACTAACTTTTGCAACTTCTGTTGTAGTGGGAGCAGGCAAAGGCTTGAGAGTTCAATGTAAACCAACATCCCACCCCAGCCAACCCAGTCCCAGCCCAACCACCTGGCAGGATTTTCAGATAGGATGCAGAAGCATAACTTGGTGTAATTTGGTCTCCAAAAGGTAAGGATTTTTTTTTCTAACTCACTCCTGGGAAAAATAAAAGAATTTCCATGGGCTCTGTGGGAGGCAGGGAACAGGATTTTCTGAAGATGGGTGTTAGAGGGAACAAACCTACTTATTAGTCATTTAATGGGAAAGTGAAATCAGTGCATTTGGTAGCCACTCAAATAGAGCAATTTGCTGATTTCTGTCTGCGAGAATTCTGCAGCTTTTTTCTGTATCAAAATCACTTCTTTTATCAGGTGTTTTGCTTTTGCAGTGGATTGATGACTGTTCTCTTGACTAAGGCTGCAGACTGCTTCCAGCTCAGAAGATTTCAGGCACTCCCCATGCCCCAAGTTGTTCTAGGAGCCCTGACAACTCATGTAATGCAGTACTCCTTGTGCTTTTCCTCTTTGCAGCTTCCTGAACACATTTTCAGTGGAAGTGTGTACCCTGCACCAGGCACTTATTTTTCCAGACCTCTTTTGTGGAAGTTGTTTCTGGCTGGTTAGGAGTTTAGAGGCCATATTCTCAAAACCACCATGTGAATCTTTCTCTACTTGAGTGCTGGAAGACTAAACATAGATGAAGAAACTCAGCCCGTAACTGAGGCAGCATACAGGCACGCACCCTGGCCTGTGTTTTGATAGAGGCCGCAGTTAGTAACCGCAGTGGTCTGCTCTGATCTACAGCCTGTAAAATTTCTGAAGCGTCTCAGTTTATGTTTGGTTACTCAGCTGTCTGAGGAAAGCACTACTTCCTCACGGTTAGTTGCAGAACACTCGGTCTTAATTTAATCTGGATCTTTATCTCAGTAGAGAGATACACACACACAAGTGTATATAGATATCAAACAAAAAAACAAGTTTTACTTATTGAACAATGTTATTTACAGTTTTCTCTCACCTGTGTGTATATATATATATATACACACACCTGAACATATATGTATTTTTATGCAAACACTTGTGTATATATTTAAATGACAAGATAGCAAAAGTCTTTATTACTTAGGTTTAAACTGAGTCTGAGATTTACAGACAAAAACTCCAAAACTGTAGGAGTAGCAGAACCGGTACCTAGTTTCCTACTAATTCTGATTCTTTGCTGCCCAGGCCTTCTGTTTCTGCCAAAATTCAGCTCTTCCTCTGTACTAGTCACATTCATGTGTCCCAGAAACACTGTGTGTGCTGTGATTCTTTGGTTTACAACCTGTGACCTGATGGGAAATCGCTGAGCATTTGGTTGGGCTAGAAGTCCGATTTGCATCTTCACTGCAAGCACAAAATAGGAAAATATTTTCTAAAATGCTTTCCAAAACCTTCTTTATTTTATGCACATCAACACAGTCATGAAGAACTCCTCGAAACTGACCTCACTAACAAATTCCATAGGAAGCCAACGTTTGCATTTGATTTTTTAAACTTATCTTTAACCATTTTCCAATTGTCATTTTCATGCTGAGAGAAATATTTTCTGCTGAAGCTGACAGGGAATCTGGTTTGGCTCTAAAATACTCTAGGCAGAAACTTTCAGAAATTAGAATACTATTAAAGGAACCTGCAGATTTATCTATGATCTTTTCCTGTAAGTATATGCAACCTTTTTTGAGGTGATTCTGATTTGAGGGCTAATATTTACATGCTAATTTACCTCATATTTTTCTTCTCAAATTACAAACCAGTCTTTGCTGTCTTAGGGATCTTTGCTTGCATGGCTTTCTTTCTGGTTTTACACCTGAATGAGGTCACCAATGTCTCACTGTCCTACCCAAACACCCACAGTTACAGCATGTGCAGGGTAGTTTTGATCACTAGCAGAAATTCTGGACAGTTTCTACCATAGATGGCAACAAAGTCAAAACTAAGCTAGAAACTTAAGAGAAGGGGATTTTTCTTTTCTTTCACTTCTAATTTATTCTGTGTGTTTATCATGCAAAAGAGTCTAAATATATGACCAGTCCAACAGACAGATGCTCTCATTTTCTCACTGTGGGCTGCTTATGTTTGGAGTCCCCAAGGAGTTCAGTACAATTTTGCATGGTTTAGGTCTTCAGTCCTATTTGTGCATTGGGCCTTGCAAAATACCTGCACCCTGTGAAGTAGACAGTAGTGAAAGCAGATAAATAAATTGCTCTAAGACTGCCAGCATTGCCCATGGTTATAAGAGCCCATGACATGGCCTTATTTTGACATGTACCATCTCTCAGCTATCATCTATCTAGCCACATACTCAACATTCCCCTTATGATGACAATCTGGATAGCTGCTATCAGTCTTCATGGCTCGTATTCATCGGTACATGAATCTACAGGGCCAAAACAGAATCCCTCCCACAAAACAATGGGTTAAATTAGAAATGTTGGCCAAATCTTTTGCTCTTTAGACTCATTCTGGTTGTAGGTTGTAGACTCATTCTCTGTTATGCCACACGGAAACTCATTTTTAAAACCTATTTGCAACAGAGTGAAATTGGAGAGATGAGAAAGAATTCTTGCAGGGAAAATACGGGGTTACTGCTTTGAGGGCAGAAAATCTGTATTTCTTAACAATCTTAATGCTTCAAGCCGAAAGGGATATACTTGGATTTCATTGAGAGTTATAACAAAGCTGCACATACTGCAACTTCAGAGATTCTTGTGTTGAAGATGTGGCATAAAATCGTGACTCCTTAGTTTCTGCATTTGGACATTTGGGTTTCTTTGAAAGAAGCCTTGTTAGCTTTTGCGTA